TAGCCCCAGTCCTTTTTATTTTTTGATAAGGTCTTGCTAAATTGCCTAGGCTATCCCCAAACTTTTAATGCCTTAGTCTCCTGAATACCAGGGATTTTAGTCATGTGCTACCACACCTGGTTTGAGTCCCATTTTTTATATGACTGTTTTCATTTGCTTTAAGCTGGACTTAAAATTTACTAAAAGCTTGTAACTAAAAGAATACTGTGCTAAGCAGTTTCTACATACTATTAATTTAATCCTCAAAATAACTTAAGAAGATTGAAATTATTTTCTCAGATTTACAAATGAGGATTCTAAGAGAAGCAAAGTTAGTTTCCCGAGATCACATAGCTAGTTAGTAAGTTGTAGAGTTGGGATTCCAAGTCAGGATCATTCATCTCCAAAGCTTATAGTTTGTCTTACTTCCTAGGAATGGACTTTAGGATATTCCCCCCATATTTAGCAAAGAAATTATTATCTTCCTCTGAGACAGCCTAGCAGTTGTGATCACTGTGCCTTCCTCCCTCCACAGGTGTTTAAGCAGCCCTGGCCAGGGATAATGCGCACGGTTTATGGGAACCACACACGCTTTGAGACCACCTACTTTAAGAAGTTCCCTGGGTACTACGTGACAGGAGATGGTGAGCCTTGGCTAGCCTCTCCCTGTACCTCCCATTAAGATGTACCTTCACCTTCCATTTTCAAAAGAGTTGGTTAAGGGTAGAGAACAGAAAGGAACATGTCCTAAATATCACTGTCTAGTAAACAGGCAGAGCAACAGAGAAAACTTTAAGAACAGGAATGAGTATTGCAGGAAAGGTCTCAAGATGATGCCATCTAATGTTAAATGTCCAAGAGTTTTCTTGTTTCTTGATTCTGTGTTGACAGAGATGTAGCATGTAGCAATGTTTGTTACTGTGTCATGTGTGTCTCCATGTTTGGAGCCTGTTTGTCTGCCAAGTCCATATTGTATTTACTGAGCACCTACTATGCCCAACCACTGATCTAATAAGCACAAGGTATATTACCATGAATATTAGTCAAGGTATCTTTTATCATGGGATTTACATTCTAGTTAGAAAGAGACAGACAGTAAATCCAGCAAACAAGTAAATAAGCTTATCTTAGGTAGAGGTAAGTGATATGATGAAAATAATGTGATAAAGAGTGTCTTCAGGGACAGCTACTCAACACAGAGTGGAGAGTGGTCAGAGGCAGCTTTTCTGAACTGACATTTGAGCAGAGACTTGAGGGGTGAAAAAGAACCAGATACAGAGAAATCTAGATTAAGAGTATTGTTTTCAGTAGGACACAAGGTGGTGTTTTTGTCTTTTTGTTGTTTGTTGCAGTGCTGGGTATGTAACTCAGGGCCCTTATGCATGCTAGGCAAGTGCTCTACCATTAAGCTATACCCCCAGCTCCAACACAGCTTGAAATGAATGAGGAATGGACTGAAGCCTGTATGGCTAGAGTGTAGTAAGCACAGGGAAGAATATCACGTGAAGCTGGAGAGTAAATAATACAGCGTCTTGTGGGCCATGATGAGCAGTTTAGATTTTATTCAAAGTACAATGAGAGACATTTACATGTTTTAAGAAGGGGAGTGATAAGAACTACTTTACTGTTTAGAAAACAACTACCTGAGTTACAGCAACTTGAGATGGCTATATTAGTTATTTACTGCCATGGAATAAATTACCCTCAAAGTTGGTAACTCAAAAACAACAAGTATTATATTATCTCACATAGTTTCTGAGTTATCAGGATCAGTGAACAGCTTAGATGGGTGGTTCTTTGTCAAGTGTCTCTCATGGATTGCAATCAAATTGTTGGTAGGGGCTGTAGTTATCTAAAGGTATGACTGAGTCTAGAGGACCCACTTTCTTACTCAATCTTGTGGCTGCTGGCAGAAATACTCAGTTTGTCACCATCTCTGTAGGGCTACTTACAACGTGGCAGCTGGCTTTCCCTAGGGTACAAGATCTGAGAGAATACATCCAAGGTGGAAGCCAATGTGTCTTCTGTAATCTAATCTCAGAAATGACATCCTGTTGGGCTGGGGTCGTGGCTCAGTGGTGGCATGCTCGCCTAGCATGCACGAGTCACTGGGTTCGATCCTCAGCACCATATAAATGTAAAGATATTGTGTCCACCTAAAACTTAAGAAATGAATGTTAAGGAAAAAAAAAAAAAAGAAATTACATCCCATCATTTCTGCCAAATTCTGTTGGTTACACAGACTAACCTTGCACAGTGAGAAAGAGAACTATTTGCAGGGCTTTAAATACTAGGAGATGGAGATCAATGGGACCATCATGGAGGCTGGAAGCTGGAAGACTTGCTAGAAATCTACTGCATTGGGTATGACAGTTTGGTAATGTGGATCATGTGCTCTATTGTGGGGTATTTATATGTTATGCATTTCTTCCCAGGCTGCCGGCGGGACCAGGATGGCTATTACTGGATCACTGGCAGGATTGATGACATGCTCAATGTATCTGGTGAGGGCCCAGGACCCCCTACCATTTCATTAGCTCTGTTACCCTGACAACTCCCAGCTAAAGACTTTATAAAGAGACCCAGGATTGTCATTTGGCCAGACCAAACATGTGTGGAGTGTGGTATTCAGTTCTGGGTCCAGGTTTTGGAAGAATGATCAGCACTGGAATATGCCTAGAAGAAACTGGGGTGGTGAGGTAACTGGAAACATGCCACGTGAGGACTGGATGAAGGGCATTCCCCATGCAGACGGGGGTCTGCCCTGCGGGTACCAATGGAACAAAGGCTGGGGCAAAGGCTGGAATCTCTCATGGCATTTCCTTTCTCTTGACAAGGACACTTGCTGAGTACAGCAGAAGTGGAGTCAGCACTTGTGGAACACGAGGCTGTGGCAGAGGCAGCTGTGGTGGGCCATCCTCATCCTGTGAAGGGCGAATGCCTCTACTGCTTTGTTACCCTGTGTGATGGCCACAGCTTCAGCCCCACCCTCACTGAGGAGCTCAAGAAGCAGAGTAAGGAGCTCTCCTTGGCAAGGACTAGAGGGTCTGCATGTTGTTAGGGAGGGGCTGCAGCAAGCTGTTCCCCAAACCATGAATAGAGCTCACGGGATCCCATGGTCCAAATGATTTCTACCTACTTAGTTTCCACTAGTCTTTCTACAGGTTAATAATAATAGCCAACAACTATTTAATACTTTTTTTGTGCCATCACTGGGCTTAGTGCTTTAAATGCATGACCCCATTTAATCCCTATAATCACCTCCACAAAAGAGATACTATTGTTACTCTAGTTTCAAAGATGAAGAAACTTCAGGTGCAGAGAAGTTAAATCACTTGCCCAAGACTATACTTCCTGAAAGGTGTATTTAAATTCTGGCAGGCTGATTCTACAGCCAGAGTTCCACGAACGTGGGTTAAGATATAATAGGAGAGGCAGAGAACCTGAGGGTGACTCTGTAGACAGGGCCTTCAAGGGGAAACAGTTGGGGAACTAAACCATCCCTCCCTTGGCTTTTGAGAGTCTGGCTAAAGGTGATGAAGAAAAACTTGATTTGTTGATTACAGTTAGAGAAAAGATTGGCCCGATTGCCACACCAGACTACATCCAGAATGCACCTGGCTTGCCTAAAACCCGCTCAGGTATGTTCAGATACCTCCAGGGATTGGGATGGGCTGAGGCCCAGTGGTATGGGGTGTGTGGATGAAAGCCTTTGGTGGGGTTGGGTGGGTCAGTGCTGTCACTTAGTAACCAGAGGCTTGTGGTCCCCCAGGAAAAATCATGAGGCGAGTGCTTCGAAAGATTGCTCAGAATGACCATGACGTGGGGGACACATCTACAGTGGCTGACCCGTCTGTCATCAGTCACCTCTTTAGCCACCGCTGCCTGACCATCCAGTGAACAAGACTCTTTACCCAGGATTCTCCTGCTTGGCTCTCCAAAGTTCTGTCCGTCCTCCCTGTCCCCTTTCTAGGAGTACTGAGGGCCAATCCTGACCCACACTTTGTCCCTATATGGAGACAGTTTCCTGTGACTGCCAGGCAAAAGGGACAAAGTCCCAAGTCAGCCTCAGACTAATATGTCTCCAGTCTCCAAAGAACTCTCCATGCCCAGTACAGGGACCTGAAGACCATGTCCCTAAGTTCAGAGGGTAAATAAGGGCCTAGACTGAAGCTGGGAGCCAACCCTAAATCCTGTGTCAGCTTTCTCAGAAAGCACCAGTACTTATCTTGGATATGCACTTGTCTTTAGGAATGACAGTTTGTGAGTCCAGGAATAATAATTATTTTTTTAAATACTTTGCTGCTTCTGTTCTGAGTCTGAATTCCCTCTTTGCTCCAGAGGCTGTGCAAGCCAGTTCAGTCTCTAGATGCTTTTCAAATCATCTGCTTCTTTGGAGGAGTGGGTGTATTTTGTTACTAGGATCAGAGGAACTTATCTTCCCTGTCCTGTACCCACCTTTCCATGAACAGAGCCTGCCCATGAGAGATACACTCATATGGAACTCTCTTCTCTTGCCCTATTGATGCTTAAGCTCCATGGTTGTAGGAATAAAGTTTGTGACCTCAAGAAGGTGTGACTGGTTTTCTTAGGTATCTTTCAGGCTGTACATGTAGCTGCTCTGATTTGTGTGGCAGGTGGGAAGGGGAGTGATATTCCCGAGGACTACCCCAGTGTCTTCCTTCTAAAACTTTTGGGAAGAGGCAGGCAGGGCTTCACTCACAGGAACTCTGACAAGCCCCTCAGTTAAGTAAGAGTGACTGAAGCCACTTCACAACTTTCATATCCCATTGTGGTTGCCTTCCCACCTGGGCTTCTGTCAGGGACTCCTACTTTTCCCTATGATCCTATGGGAGTGTTAGTGAGTGACTAAAGATTGGAACTTCAGGATCCCATCCATAGGGTCTGGGTCTAGGGAGACCCTGACTACAGCCCAGTCACATTCCCTGCCCCAATCCACCGTAAGTGGGCTGATCTAGATTATAACTTTCCTCTTTCCTCTGTATACAAAACAACGATTCAACAGTCAGTAATGTAATTTTATTTAAGGCAGAGATGGAAAAAAGTCTATGCCCCACCCCCCCTTATCTCTCCTCTTTCTACCACTCAGTCCTATCCCAAGTCAGGCACTTGAAGCTGCTGGAAAGGCTGATGAGGGGTCAAGAGGAGTATGGCAGAATTTATGGACCTTGACCTCAGAGCAGCTCCCTTCCCACACCTCAAAGATTTGGGGGCTTCTAGATCTCATCTAATGGAAACACAGCCTTTCTGGTCCTCAGATCCTTCACACTAGACCTTAGAAAACTTTGGGAGAGAAGGGCCCTCCTAAGGTAGGAGGGTTCGGAGATTAGTGACAAGTACGTGGGATAGAAGATCTCTTGAGTGAAGTCCAGGCTGTCCAGGCCGTGCCCTCATACAGGGTATGGGTTGTCCAGGACTGCTACTCCTGCAGCCACACCCCCATCTGCATGCTCGATGGCTTTGGTTCGAAGTAGATGCCCCACGTGCTTGTTCATCACAAGTGTCTTTCCCTGCCTATAGAAATGGGGCCAGAAGACATACAACATCACCAAACCCAGGATTTTTCCTGGTCCTAGCTAAGCAGTACATGGGTAACCTACTATATCCAAAACAGGGCTAGGATTTTAGAATAGATTTAGGTTTGCATTCTAGCTTGGAAATTACTAGCTTTGTATCCTTGGAGCAAATTCCTTAGCCTTTCTAACTATCAATTTCCTCAATTTAAAATTGGGATAACACCCCTCACTTTGCAAGTAGGTCCTGAAGAGTAAATAAAGCAAGAACACTCTTAATTCATGTCCTGAGCTATGAGTTTTCTCTCTCAAGGTGGCTGTGGGGGTGGTAGGAGTGACAGGCAGAGATGCTGAAAGTGGTTAGAAGGGGAGGTTGTGGAGGGGCAGGTTTTGGCAGGGAGCATCTGGTATTCCTTGCCCTAACCTTGAAGTATTTTGTAGGAAGTAGCATGAGGGACTTGTTACTTACAAATTCCCAAGTCCTCCTCTCTTTCTGATTCTTTGTGTGCAAATCCAAATCCAGGGGCTATATAGCTCTTCAAAGCCACTGAATGATGTCTAGCTGACCTTTCTCATCTTTCTCCAGAATCCCCAGGGGACTTTGAGCTGGATCCAAACTCTCTTCCTCCCTGGAGAATCTACTCCTGACTGTCAGACGATCTATTCTCAATTCTCTTGGTACCATCTGCAATTTTCATTATATGAGAAGTTCCTTTATATGTTGAGAAGCAAAATACTTCTCATATGGGCTTCATTTGAGAGCTCTGTGAGGTGGGCAGGTCTTGAGTCCTTGGCCTCATTTCATAGACAAGGAAATAAGTAAAAAAGCTAGGGATTGGCAGAGCTGGGACTGAAGCCCATGATTCCTGACTCTGTCCATGGTTTCTTCTAGCTCTTTCCACTACCTGCTGGGAGGTAGGAAAGGAGCTTCCCCTTATTGGCTCACCTGACATAGACTCCAAAGATGCCCAGCTCTGAGATGCACTGGACCACTCTGACAGGGCTGCCAGGCCGTAGCAGGCAGTTTGCAAAAGGCTCAGGTTCAATCTTCTCCATGAGGATGTAGGAGGCCCTCTCCTCGCGGTCCTTTAGCTGCTCCAGGGCCTGCACCATTTCCTCCCCATACAAGTTGTTGCCTGCAATTAAACTGGCCAGTTACCTTACTTATCTTTTTCACTTCTGGGGCCATGTGAACAACTCAACAGCCTTAGTTCATGACACCAGCTCAGTAAAGCTGGAGTACATCTGGCTTCTAACAATCCAAGGCCAATCTAACAGGAAAGCCCTTACACAAGCGAACACACCTACCATCACACCATCCTGCCTGGTTCTCCTGTCTATGGATGCTTCTTCTCAGCCTCAGTTCCTTCTCTTCTTAAATGTTGGGGTTCCCCAGGAATCTATCCTACACCCTTGTTCTCTCTTCCATATACCTTTTTTCAGGGAGTTCTCTTCTGTATTTCCAAGATCCCACCTATACCCCATAACTTGTTAACTCCTGTATCTTTAACTTAAGCTGCTTGCTCTAGATATCACACGAATGTCCCACAGGTCTCCAAAACAAACTCAGCATGTCCAAACAGAACTCAATTTCTGCTTCAATATGCCCCTCTTGGACTTCCAATTCCCAATTAGGCAAAAGGCATCCCTGAGTCCTATTTCAACTCCTCCCTCTGCTTTACCTCGGACACTACCTCAGACATGTCTCTCCAGTCTCTGTTCCATGATGTCATAGCCCTAGTCTGGAACTCTACATCACTATTCTGGACAACTGTACCAGCTTCGTTTATGGTCTCTCTGCCACCAGTCTTTTCATTCCAGGAAATTTATAATGGCCGAAACACTGTACGTTTTGCAAGTTCTTACCACTGATAGCCAGTGGGATCCTTAATCAATCAAACGTCCCCTTCCTGCTTAAAACTCTCTAATGGCTTCCCATGATAAAATCCAATTTCCTAACATACATTCAGTGCTCTTTATAAGGCCTCCTACCATCTGCTACTCCAACCTCACCATTCTTATTAACCTCAAAACATACCATGCTTTCATGGCCTAGTGCTCTTGCTTGAGATTGTTCCTTCTGTTTAGAACACTCATCCCCCTTTTCTACCTGGAAAACTCCAACCAGGTCAAAAATCATCTCTGGATCTATGAGGCAGACACGATCCCTGCCCTCAAGGAGTTTCAAATGAGGCAGGAAGACAGACATGTATTTTGTGGAACCTAACACACTACTACCTGCTACTCTATCATCTGCCCGAGGCACCTCAAACTAAAGTTGTCCAAATCCTCCAGTGCTGGTTAATTCCCCTGTATTCCACAGCACTTGGTCACAGGGTCTCGGGGGACACTGTCCTTGGTGGGACCTATGTCACTTCCTCTTGTATCACCATGCCTGACCTATGTCCATGGAAGTATTCACTGGTGACAACTTGGTAGCTCCTTTTACTGAGCAGCTCTGCAGAGGGGGATTCACCTACCTCCACCCTCTCTTTGAGGCTTTAGCACAAACCGGTTTGGGGCAGCAAGAGCCTCATTAATGGCCTGGTCCCCTTCTTCACCCTGGCAAGAGGCAGAAAGTAGTCACCACACAGTTTTAAGACAAAAAGAAGTAATGAGAGTCCTGCTGATCATACAAGTAGCATTATGGGAAGAGCAGGAGTAGGAACAGCCACTTGCTCTTTCAGGCTGGACATTTCTTTTCAGATGTGATCCCCACAACCCTTGCAGCCATAAACACAGGGAGAATAGGTCTTCCTCTGGCAACACAGGCTCTGCAGCAGGTAGTCTAGACAGTGGGTACAGCTATTCCTCAATTCTTGCTACCTGCCTTAGTCCTGTCCCCTGGTTGACACCCCCATCTCTACCTTTGTTGAGGAGTTGACGGTGAATTCCAGCCCTCTGAGGCTGCTCTCATCTCCAAGGTTCTTAGGGGTTCCCCAGAGCACCATTGACGCAAGTCACAATAATAACCATAATGCCAGTTCCACCCTTCCCGACACATTGGGCTCCAGCTTTCTGTCACTAAGAGGCCTGTGATGGGAGAAATGGGTTGCTTATGTACCATGTCCAATGAGTAGAGACCAGCGAAGGTGGCACGGAGGCGGGCCACAGCCTCAGGCTGGCCAGGGAGCAACATCTCCAGCACGCCCGCCCGGCTCAGCTCCTGCTGCACTTTTTTAGTCCCAGTCAGCTGGGTGGCAATGTCTGGGCACTTAACAGCGCATGACCTCTCCAGCAGTAAGCGTGCTTTCCAGTTCTGCAGAGAGAGGAACACAAAAAGCAAAAAAGAAATCTACTTTAGTTCATGTCTGCTGATCATTACTGATTATGATTTTTATCTTCACATTGATTATCTCCCAAGATCATTGCAATATCCTTGTGAGGAAAGTGTGACCTTTTCAAATCCATGGGATTCTTGCCTTAAGGAGCTCATAGTCTAGCACACTGATACATGACCAAAAATAAAGGGAAACGACAAAAGGTGAAAAATCTTTTATGAGGATATAGAAAAACTGATGATGAGGTTCGAAGGGCTTGGGCCACTTATTTATGAGTTCAGCTTCCCACCGTTATTTCAAATAAAATTCAAGACCTCAAACTCTGGTTTTTCTTCAGAGTGTATAAGTCTGTTGCCTTTTACCAAACAAAAAATCCAAACTCCTTATCATGGCCTATAAGACCCTGTGGGAGGGCTGGGGATGTGGCTCAAGTGGTAGCGCGCTCGCCTGGCATGCTTGCGGCCCGGGTTCGATCCTCAGCACCACATACAAACAAAGATGTTGTGTCTGCCGAAAAAAACTAAAAATAAATAAATATTAAAAAAAAAAACAAAAACTTTTAGGTATAATAAAATTATTAAAAAAAAAAAAAAAGACCCTGTGGGATCTGGCTCTTGTCTGTTTTTTCAACTTCATTCCATATTGCCACCCCCGACCTCTACCCCTGCATCCTGATTCCCCCATTCTAGCCACATAGGCCTATCATTCCTCAAACACACAAAACCTCCTCAGATCCTTTGCATTTGTGTTTTCCCTTTGCCTGAAATTCTCTTTCTTTTGGCTTTTTCCAGGAATGGCTAGATCCTTCTTATCATTAAGTCTTGACTCAGTTACCTTCTCAGAGAAGCCTTCCTTGACTACCCTATTTAATGTAGGTTCAACATAATTCTCTATCTTTTCACCCTGCTGTTTCACTCAAAGCAGTTGTTTCCCAACTAGGAGAAAAAAACACTCTTTAAAAAAATTTTCAAAGGCCGCATTCTCTGATCAGACTGTGAGCTCCATTAGGACCAGATTCTTGTCTTATTTTCTTCTGTATCCCCACTATCTTACATAGTTCCTGGCACTTCATAGGTGCTCAATAAGTATTTGTTATTTGTTACTGTGGCTGACTGAAGTGAAATTCATTCAAGCAGTATCCTGGAGAAAGGCAGTCTGACTAACAGGCTAACAGAAAAATATGGACAAAAGCCGGCTGGTGGTGATCACAAGATGAATGACCTGTTGTGTCAGGAGCTTAGGATATAAGAAGCAGGAAACATCAGAGAATCACGTGTCCCAGTTTTGGTCCCCATTCTCAGGCACTGGGGAGATAGTCTGTCCTTGGCTCCAGATCACAGCAAACTGTCCATAGCAGGATCAAGGCTAAGACTTGAGCAACTCCTGCCATACTCAATGCTGCTCCCCTGTGGCACTTTTACCTTATCTTTACCCAATAATCCCAATCATCTAATTATTGGTCTGGGGTTCCAGGCAGAGTCACAGGTGCCCAGAACATGAGATAAACCCAGAAGTACCTCATTAAGTCACAAGCAGGGAAAGCACAACCCAAACATGAGCAGGGATTTGCCCAGGATCATCTAGCAAGTCACTAAGCTTTACAGATCTATCTCCATGTTCTAAACCCAGTTTGAGCTTCTCAGTTCCCTAAAAATGTCCACTTCCTTATATACACTACTTTCCTTACCCTGTTAGCTCTCCCTCTAAGTTTTCTTGGGCCTCTTCCCCCATCCCCATCTTGAAACTTAGATCCAGGATGGGTCCCAACAGATAGTTTCTTCTCTAATCAGCAAGTTCCCAACACTGCTACCACTTCTCTAGAGAAAAGGAACTTCTGTAGAGCTGCCACCTCCGTCCAGCTGCCCTCTACAGAGGTCAACCCAGGGGGGAAACCTAGATGAACTGTAGACCTGAAAGGAGTTCTCTTGATTTTATAGTTCCTGCTTTCAGAAACTGAAACCCAGGAATGGTGCCAAGAGGCAGAATCAGGCTAATGGCCCCCAGACCATTGCCAATGGTATTTCCTAACTTATCCCCTCCTTTACCTTCTCCCAAGTGAAAGCAGGGCTTCTTAAGTCTCTCCATGGTATGTACGTTAGGAGCAGGACAGAAGAATGGTATCCTGGGAATACCAGGATACAACACACTACTGGCCTGAAGGTCAGGAAGCCTGGAAACTTCCTGTGGGATCTTAGATAAGCCTCTGCATTTCTCCAAACCTTAGTTTCTCCATCTGTGTAATGGGGGTAACTATATGCTTCACAGGGCAATAGTTAAGTGATATAATGAATGTGGTAAATAATTTCAATGACATGGTAGGATAACAAGATGAAGTAACATCATTACTTCCATGAACATGAATGGACAGATGATAAAAAACTTTCTGACTCAGATAAAGGAGCGGTAAAGAAGAAGAAAATGATCAGTGGTGTGCTGGAACTAGCTTGCATCAGCTAGTGAGAGCTGACTGTACCCTTCTCTTCCCGACTCTGTGTTCAGAGATGTTGAGCTGGGGAGCTCAAAATTGTACTAGAGAAATCAACAAATGTTATAAGCTGGTACTTTTATGCCCAGAAAGATAGTTTTTAAACATCTGCCAGCCCACCTCTAGAAAATGTGTGAGTGGCTAAAGCACTAAATTCCTGAGGATGCTGATTCTAGAGGACAGTGTGTTTGCAGAGTGAGAGGTAGACACACTTGCAGGAGGGAGGAAGTTCCAACAGCAAGTTCCCTGAGGAGAAATTGAAGCTAAGACTCAGAAAAACCCTGGTTGTTGTGACATCTAGGTTGGGGTAAGTCCCAGGAGGCAAAGAATTATCTAACAGAAAAATACCAACCTGTGTACTGTACTGAGTTGGCATGTAGCCGTCCCGGAAGTAAACCACAGCAATTTCCTGGCCATCCCTAGAACATAACAGAAAAAGCTATTGTTGTTAAATTGTAACTGATGTATTCAGTGGTTCAATCAATTTCATATTATATCAAAATGCATTTGGCTTTTCTGAAAGTCAGTCCATAGGACCTGGGCTGGGGTTCACTGGAACTATTAAAAGGAGATACCTGCACTACCAGTGCTTTCACTAAAAACACAGAGATGTCCAATATGGAATGTTTTAGAATATTCTACATCTAGAGTCATTCTAAGGAGACTACAGGGAAACAGGAAGGTAACCGGAATCAAATCAGGTAAATTCAAAATCACATGGCCTCAAAATGACTGAGTAGCAGAATCATATTACCATGCATAGAAAAACAGACTTTAGTCAGATGTGGTAGTGCACACCTGTAATCGCAGAAACTTGGGAAGCTGAGGCAGATAAATTGTAAGTTCAAGGCCAGCCTTAAGCAATTTTGCGAGACCCTGTCTCAAAATCTAAAAAGGGCTGGGGATGTAGCTCAGTGGTAAAGCATCCCTGGGTTTACTCCCTGGTGCCCCAAACAAACACGAACTTGTATTTCCACTGCTTAAAGTAGCTGAAACCTAAGATTTCTTAAAATGGTAGGGTGGGATGAGGTGCAAAAATGAGTCTAATTAAAATACAGACTTGGGCTGGGGATACAACTTAGCTGGTAGAGTGCCTGCCTCGCATGTACAAGGCCCTGGGTTCAACCCCCAGTACTACAAAAAGAAAAAAAGACTACCTTTAAATTTCTTCCCCTTTTCTTTGACCTATTTGATAGTATTGGTTTATCTGGAAAGTAAGCCACTTTGTTTTATTTAAAAAAAAAAGTAAGGGCTGGGGTTGTGGCTCAGTGGTACAGTACTTGCCTAGCATGTGTGAGGTACTGGGTTCGATTCTCAGCACCACATACAAATAAATGAATAAAATAAAGATCCATCGACAACTAAAAAAAATACATAAAAAAGATTTTTAAAAATTAAGTGGTATTGTGAAATCCCATGGAGATTTTAACTTTAACAATCACAAATTTCCAAACCTGTGGTCACCTTGTAGTGGCCCATGGAGGGAAGGGCAAGGCCTGGCTTGGAAGACAAATCCAGGCCCAATCTCAGAGAATGGAATCTAGATAAATCACAGAATAAGCCAGCTGGCCCTCTGCTTCCCTGACTGTCCAGCCCAACTGCTTAGGCTGGACTTGACCAGCCTCCAAGAGGGGCAAGAAAATTTTGCAGAGCTCAGAGGAGTAAGAAAACAAAGGTTATCTTTAAGGACGACACCCTTATCCAGATGTCATCAGTTATGAGACAACCCTTTAGAAGCAGTTTGCTTGGCCTTTCTCCAAAATTTCCTGAAGAATATTTCAGAAATTAGGAAAAAAGAAAACAAACCATCCATCCCATCCAGAAGGAAAGATCATTTGGGGAAAGAGGGTTTCACGAACAAATCAGCTAGTGGATCTTTGGGGATGCTTACATAAACAACCTTCGGTCTTGGTCTAGAGACCCCTTTTCAGAGACATCTTCAAATCTTCGCCGGATTACATGGATCTTCCTGGGAAAGATGGACAAGAGTCAGAAGGAGCGGATGCTGTGATCTGAGTCGCCCTTCCCATTGGGACCACATACTTACTTGGCTAGTAACTCATTCTCTATGGCACGCTGGTCAAATATGTTCCTTTCCTTCTCTTGAGCAATCAGTAGCACCTGAGCACTGGAGAAAGAACACAAATGGCCTGAGGCTGCTATAGAGCTTATCCTTTCTCCCCCGCCCCCCATATGAATAAAACAGTTTCCCTGAAAGAGTAGATATTACCTTAATTTGGGATTAACTCAGGCATAGACACCTAAGGCTATAACATCTTATTTTCTGATAATAGGAAACTTGGAATATATGGAGATGTCTCTACCCCTTCTCTAGTGGGTATATGAAATACAGTAATAGTTGGGCATGTGGCACATGCCTAAAGTCCCAGGTACTTGGGAAGCTGAGATAAGAGAATTACAAATTGAAGGCTAGCCTAGGCAACTTACACTCTGCCTTAAAGGAAAAATTTAAAAAAGAAATAAAGGGAAAAAATTATAATGATGTCAATTTTAGATTTAAACCCATCTCAAAAACCCAAGAGGATTTTTTTTCTTACAACAGAACATAATGATTCCAAAATCCAAAAGAAGAAACAGGTAAGACTGTTGAATATTTTATAAATAAATAATGCTGGGGGTCAAGTACAAGTGATTCCATTACTAGATTGTAAACATATAATAAAAGAGTGTGAGGTTAGGATTGTAGCTCAGTGATAGAGTGCTTGCCTAGCACATGTGAGGCACTGAGTTCAATCCTGAGCACCATATAAAAACAATAAATAAAATAAGGGTATTGAGTCCATCTACAACTAAAAGAAAAAAAAAAAGTGTAGCTAGACATGGGCAACTCAGGAGGCTGAGGCAGGAGGATTGCAAATATGAAGCCAGCCTCAGAAACTTAGCAAGGCCCTAGGCAACTTAGTGAGAACCTGTCTCAAAATAAAAAATAAAAAGGGCTGGGGATGTGGCTCAGGGGTAAGCACTCCTAGGTTTAATTCCTGGTACAAAGCAAAAACAATTGTGGTTTTTGCATAAAACTTTAGAAGAGCTAGACAGATCCCTACAGAAAGCCACAGATCTAACTACAAATAAGGCATTATCACCTGGGGCTTCCCAACATTTCTGTGATGTCCACAGGACCATGTTTGATCTCACAGTACTAATGGGATCAAAGTGGCTTACCGGGCCTCTTCCTCTTTCTTTATCCATGTGTTTCTTAAAGAAACAGGGGCTTGAGAACTCAAGGAAAAGCTTATGCAGAGAACTATCTGTTTGAGCTTCCAGTTAAGATATTTTCAGTGTCAAAAAAGGCCTACTCTTAAAAAGCCTTTATGAGCCACCAGCCTCATAAAGCCAATGCTTATAATACCAAACTCCATTTTTACTGAAATTGTACTGCTTTGTGCCTGTTGTATCTTGCTAAGACCATTGGGAACATTGGTTGAGGATGCTAAGTGTATATTCCTGACCTCCTGTACTGGGCCTCTTATCTCTTTGTCTTTGTTTTTCCCCATCTCAGCTGAACCTCTTGGACTAAACTTTGTTTTCCTGACTTCTTTCCACTTGGCCAAAATACAGGTCCTAAAATGTCCCCTATCCTAGTCCACCTGAAATCTCATGAAGCCAGATGTGACATTAAGCTGAGTCTTGGCTTTGAGCTGGGCATCTTAGAGACAAGTTAGAAGTGATGCTCTCTTAAGCCATCTTGCCCTGAGAGAGTCCGGAGGGACAAAGGCCTTGTTCTTCATTTTGCACTATGAACCACTGAAATGCTCTGCACATGAGTAGGTATGTGTGGGAGGTGGCATCTGGCCCAGGCTGAACTGCTTCCTAGAAGCCATGGAGGAGGAAGGCTGGAGGCTGAAGGTTAAAATGGAATTGCATGCTGTGGCTAATTAATTCAGCCTGCCACCTGACAAACAATGGGCATTAGACCAAGAAACATTGTATCTCCTCCTTCCTTTAGTTATGAGCAGTTGGAACCAAGGAAGACTATAAAAATTGTCACCTAAGGAAGGTGGTTAAGTGGCTCTAGCATGATAGCTTGGAGAGAGGACCTCTCAATGCTACTCATGCCTCTGCAAGTGACTTGTGATGTGTCCTAAAACAAGTGTTTCTTTCTCTGGACCCTGAATTTCCAAGGTGCTGAGGAGATAGATCATAGTTAATCAGATCATAGTTTCCAACCTTTTAAGCATTTTTCTTATTCCATTCATTCTAATCATAGACCCTAGAGGGTGTCTAAATTGAAATCATAATTAATTGTCTAGCCTTCCTTTAAAAAAATCTTAAAAAGCATGAGATAACTAATGAAAATTCATCTTTACAAATGTTAAGATCGGTTTTTCAATCCATACTAGTGTAGTAGAGAGAACTCAGGTTTTAGAGGCAGATAAATTCTAAACTTACTAGTTACATAACTTTAGGCAAGTTACTAAACCTTTCTGAGCCTCAGTTTCTTGTGTTAAATAAAATTCAATAGTAGCTATTTTTATCATCATCATCATCATCATCATCATCACCACCACCACCACCATCATCAAATGAACCACATGATCCACACTGAATTTTTAAAGCATTTTTCAGGTCCATGGCCTTATTTAATTCTCACTTCCACCCTTTTAGGTATTATTATCACTTCTACTTTACAAATAAGAAAACTAAATCTCAGAAAAAAGAAATGACTTGCCAAAGCCATCGTGCTGAATCAGCGGAGCCTATTCTACTCATAATGGCAGAAACGAGTTACAGCTTAGGCGCTGCGTAAGATGAATAGCTCCTACCCACCAGTGTTCAATTCTGGGCAATAAGTCTTTTCTCTTCATGCTATTCACAGCCTGGCAGGAGCCCTCTATAGTGTTTGTCCATCAGCAGCTCACCAGTTGACTCATCCCCTGGCTTCACTCTCTCAAAATGCAACCTAACCAGGAGTTCTACTTGACAGAATAATTGTCTGATAGCCTCTGAATGCTTATAGTCTGAGGTTTTTTTTTTTTTTTTTTTTTTTGTTCTCTTTGGATTCTAGTGAAGTTTAGCAAGCCCACAGATACTCTCTTGGAGGTAATAGTATGATTAAGAATACAGGCTTTGGGCTGGGGATGTGGTTCAAGTGGTAACGTGCTCGCCTGGCATGCGCGGGGCACTGAGTTCCATCCTCAGCACCACATAAAAATAAAATAAAGATGTTGTGTCCACCGAAAACTGAAAACTAAATATTAAAAAATTCTCTCTCTCTCTTCTCTCTCTTTAAAAAAAAAAAAAAAAAAAAGAATACAGGCTCTGCAGCTACTCAGGTGGTAAAACACGGAGGACTGAAAATTTGAGGCCAGCCTCAGTAACTTGGTGAAACCCTATCTCAAAATTAACAATGAAAAGGGCTGGGGAGGTAGTTCAGTGGTAGAGCTCCCCTGTACCACAAAAAAACTCTCCCCACACACACATACACACAAACAAATACTTCTGGAGGGAGATAGACTCTGGATTCTGCCACCTACTCACCAGTTGACCTTGAACAAGTCACTTCACTTCTCTGAAACTCAGTTTCCTCTTCTATAAAACAGGGGAGATGAATAGTACCTACCTCAGGAGTATTTGTCATGAGGATTCCATGAAATCCTGTATGTAAATCACTTGGGCACCAGAAAGTGCTCTAAGGTATGGCACTAGTAAGTGCTCTTTAAGGGATAATTGTTAATGCTATATGAACATTGCAATAACTGTTAGTATTATAATCCCTCAATTATCTTGCATCACTTACCTAGTATCTTCAGACATCTGGAACATGGTTGAGAAATAGGAAGAAAGCAAAAAATGCCTCTAAGCAGTTAAAATGGATACCATAAAATTCCCAAGCCAAAGCTTATGCAATTACTCATCCGAGAGGCCCTCATGCTCTTTAGACATAATCATAACAACATGGATCACTTCTTTCTCCAAAGCACAGAAAATTAGAAAGGCGATATGGGGATGACAAGGGAGCATTCCAAAATCAAACACCCTGAGAGCAGTGAAAGTAGGAGAAGGGGCCAGGGATGTAGCGCAGGAGTGTAACACTTGCCTAGCATTCTCAAGGCCCTGGGGTGATCCCTGGCACCACAAAAAGAAAAGGGCGAAAAAAAAATCAGAGCTGATAATTGGGAAGCAGGCAGGAAAATTATGAAGAAAAGGAGAACTTAGAGCCTAGCCGTAGAGCTGTCTCTCTAACCCTAGGTGGCACAGCTGCATTGCAGCAAGAGGCAGTCACCAAGAGGAATATTATCTCTAGCCAATACCATTGCATATTTAAAAAGGAAGCCCAAGTACACATATATAGTTCCAGCTACTTGGAAGGCTGAGGCAAAAGGATGGATGGTTAAAGGCCAGCCTCAGCGATTCAGTGAGACCCTGTCTCAAAAAAGAAAAAGGGCTGGGGATGTGGCTCAGTGGTAGAGCACCCCTGGGTTCAATCTCTGGTACAGGGATGGAGGTATGGGGAGGAAGCCCAAAACAAAACTTTATTATAATAATTTTGGCACTTAAACATCTAAGTTTCTGTTCTTAGCAAAATCCCTTCATTCCCTAACGATGTCAAGCAAAAGAGAAGATGCTGGACCCATGAATGCTGAATCTAAAGCAGTAAAAGAGCTGCCACTTTTTTCTACATCCTTACTTGGCTGAGCCATAGAGCTCCCAGGCTTTGGCAATCCCCAGGGCCAGTCCCTTGCTGGGATTATTGGAGAGGATCTTCGCAGCTTCTTTGGTCTTGCTCAGGACATTGAGAACATGTCTGTTGGAAGAGAGATGGCTGTTCAGTTATTGGATTGACCAGAAGACCCCTCTGCCCTTGACCTCATAGAAACATTACTCAAATAATCATGTGCACACTTAAAAGCTTCTTACCATCACCTCTTATAAGATCCACTTTAGCTGGAATATGCTGAGCTGCTCTCACCCTGACCCTTGATGTACGTGCCCACAGGAGCTCTTGAGGCCCAAGTGAGCTGAAGTCCCTTCCCCTGGGCCCTCAGGTGCCGCCTGGAATGCTGCTGCAGCCCATCTGGAATCACAGCAACCTGGAGTATCTGCTGGCTAAGAATGGCTACTACTGTGACCCAACCATCACATGGAAGCTCCTGCATTCCTCTCTACCTTAGATTCAGAATTCCTTTCATGATCTCAGACATGTCAAATTCTTTCTCACTGCAAGCCCCTTGCAGATTATGTTCCTCTATCTGAAACACTGACTTGCTTAATGACCAGATAAGTAAGACTAGATAAGCCATGAGGTCCCTTCTCTCCCTGACACACTAAGAATCTGATTACAAGTGGAAACTGTGCTGCAGGACACAGGATGTGTGTAGGTAGGGAGAATCCATGACCCAGGGCCCAGGAAGGCACAGTCATGGAGATCCCTGGTTCAACCAGTGATTGAACCTCCATCAGGCTGGCCCACAGCCACCCAAGAAACCTACTGGTGCACGGCTGGAGTACGGGAGGCCAGGCCCCCAAAGCTGGCAGAGATAGTGTTGATTTCAATCTGTTTCAGGGCTGGGGAGCCATCTGCGCTGCTCTGGAACATGTAGTCTGAGCGGTTCAGACCCAGGAACACAGTCTGTGGGAAAAACTGAAGGCTGAGGCATCTGCCCAAGGGCTGCCTCTTATAATTTAGTTACAGACAGACAGGTACCATGAACTCCATGTAGAGGTAAGATGCACTAACTAATATTCCCAAACCCAGCAGGATCATCCTTCTGGTCATCCCAGAATTGCTGGGATGTACAAACTCAGTGGGGACCAGTGAGAGATAGATCCACATGAAATCAAGGCCTGTGCCAAATTCTTCTGGTAAAAACAAAACAAACAAAAACAAGCAAAACAAAACACGAGAGATGAGAGGGCAGGTCCCAGACTTGGGGAGGAGCTGGGAATGGTTACCTGGGCAATGCCTTCTCCCAAGACTTGTTTGTAGATGTCAAAGAGATGAGCAGTAAAGTTGTCCATTTTGATGGTGCTGGAGGAGGAAACAGAACATTTTCCAGGCTACCTGGGACCTTAAAGATCAAGGAATCTTGCTCCCATTCACTGGTCCCTGAATCCCCTATGGGTCTTCTGGCCAAAACTTGAATACCCATTCCAATCTTGTAAAGAATAATGGTTAAGAGCTGGGGTTGTGGCTCAGAGGTAGAGTGCTCGCCTACCATGCATGAGGTACTGGGTTCGATCCTCAGCACCACATAAAAATAAAATAAAAAGGTAGCAAAATACAACAGTTACTAATATGGCATTATGTAAAAATGTGGATGTGTAACCGATGTGATTCTGCAATCTGTATTTGGGGTAAAAATGGGAGTTCATAACCCACTTGAATCTAATGTATGAAATATGATATGTCAAGAGCTTTGTAATGTTTTGAACAACCAATAAAAAATAAATAAATAAATAAATAAATAAAAATAAAATAAAGATATTAAAAAAAAAGAATAATGGTTAAGAATTCAACCCTACAGCCAGATGACCCAGGTTCGAATCCCAGGTCTATCACCTATTATTAGGCAACCTCATACTCTTTTTGCCTCTCTGTATCTAAGTTTATTCAACTATAAAATGAAAAGAAAAATAATTGTATTTATAGAGTTGTGGTGAAGAGTAAATGAGATATTACATGCAAAAAATTGAATATATTCTTCTGGTCCCAAAAAAGAACTAAAAAATGGCATGTGATAGGCTGGGGTTGTGGCGTGGTATAGTGCTTGTCTTGCATGTGTGAGGAACTAGATTCAATCTTCAGTACCTCATAAAAAATAATAAACAAAATAAAGGTATTGTGTCCATCTACAACTAAAAAATATATTTAAAAAAATGACATGTGGTATAACTACTATTCAAATACTTGAAGAACTCTAATGGCTAGTAAGCTTTCTGACTGACTTGATGTTACCTCTCCATAGCTTCCCCTACCCTCTGGTTCCTCCCAGGACACATTTTCTTCTCCCTGTCCACAAGAGCTCTGAGGACAGTGACCCGTATGTTCCAGTAAGATTTCACAAACCCAAACTAAATATCCTGGTTTCTTTTTCAATCAGTCCTCAGATGAGGTGATTTCCTCAGAGGAACCTTTGCTACCTGGATCGGATCACCCTGCTAGGTGCTCTCACAGCACCTTTCTATTACCGCATTGATGGCTATTGCAACTTTCCATTTTATTTATATAGTGATTAGTGTCATCTCTCCTGTTTTTTTTTTTTTTTCCTTTTGTCATGCTGGGCATTGAACCCAAGGTTTTATGCATACTAGGCAAGTGCACTACCACTGAGCCACATCCCCAGCCCTCTCCTGTTGGTCTATAAACTACACAAAGGTGGGACTGTGTCTTAGTGGGCATAATTCAGTGTGCTGCTGTGACATGTGTAGTAGGCACCCATCCACTATGGCTTTCTGGAGCCTTAAGAAAAGGCACAGGCAGGAGTATACAGCTCGGTAATATGACACTTATTGCCTCTCAAGATTCAGGGTGGACTCTGCTGGCCTGCCCAAGCCTGACTTGTAGGCTCATTTAGTTATAGAGACCCTGCTGCAGAGAGTGGGAGGAGCCAAGTACCTCAGGCATGCCCTGAAATTCCTCTGCTCCTGGTCAGCTCTGTCACAAGGGTTAGTTTTCTCACTGGGACTATCTCAATCCTTAGTGAGGAGGAGAGTGCCCAGTGCCTCCAGGTAAACTTTGAAACATTTTCTCTTTTCTGAAGATATATTCCTTTTCAATCCCAAGCTCAAAGAGGCTGTTCTCCTTAGGAGCTAGGGTGTTGTGTGTGTGTTAGAGGAGAAAGGAACAAGGAAGATAGGGGTTACAGAGATGGGCTGGAGGGAAGATTTCCCACATAATCACATGGTTAGGGTAAAAGCCATGAGCCAGGCTGTTTATATATCCCACAATTCAGGTACAGAGCTGGGCCCATTCTGAGAAAGAAGGTAGTGGTAGGGTTCATACATGCATGACTCATCGGGTTTTTGGCTCCAAGTCAATAGTTTCCAAACTTCTTTATCATTAAGATCCCTTATCAGACTCACTCACACACCAAATGCATGTTATTAGATTTTTGTCTCTAACAAAATAACCTAGTTGTCTGTTGAAACATTAATCAGGACTGAGGTTATGGCTCAGTGGTAGAGCACTTACCTGGCACATGTGAGGCACTGGGTTCGATCCTCAGCACCACATAAATATAAATAAAATAAAGGCATTGTGTCCATCTACAACTAAAAATATTTTTAAAAAGAAAAATTAATCAAAGACATGCAATTATGTATCATAATTGCAATTATATCTATCATATTTATATACTTAATTCTAAAAATATAAATGCTGTGTAAGAGAGAGTACATGGGAGAGAGAGAGAGATAATGGGGATTGCTCTACCATGAAGTACATCTTAAGCCATTTTTATTTTATTTTGAAATAGAGTCTTGTTAAATTGCCCATGCTGGCCTTGAACTCTTTACTTCCTGCTTCCCTCCCAAATAGTGGGGATTACAGGCATGTGTTACCATGCTCTGATAAAATAACAGACTTATTTGTATCTCATTCTAAAATAAATCAAGAAATTTCACTTATCCAAGAATCTGGACAAAAAAACCTAGGGAGAGGGAAAAAAAAGATAAATTTAAAAAAAAATCTAGGGAGAAGAAACAGAAAGGGGTGAGTGGGGTGAATCATTTCAGGGGTTGTTTCCTCTTGTCCTGAGTGTGGCCCAGTCTTTATCCTATATTACCCAAAGATAAGAGGCCTGAGGGGACAAAATAGGGATGCTGCTTAGAGGAAGATATAGGAAATCTCACTTTAAGCCCAATAATCTTCCCTATCTTTGAATTTCCTCTAAAACTAGGCCAATTGTCCCTAATTCTAAATGGAAATTTCATTCTTCAAAGTGGTGGTCATGGATTACAGAGTCACAGAATGTTAGCACTGTCAGGGACCTTAGATTTAAGACAAACTCCCATATTTTAGATGAAGATATTGAGGCCCAGAGAAGGAAATGGTCTTTTGTGAGGTAATATAAATAAGCAGTAGAGCCAGGATTAGAAGCTAGCTTTCCTGACTCTTATACTATTGTTGCTTGTTTTTCCTGTGGGATATTTGACCTTTACCCCAAGTCACTAACATAGCAACATCTCATGTAACCCCAGTCTTCCAGCAGCTTCCTGAACCTCCAAGAGCTTCTAGCAGCTTCTAGCAGCTCTTGGATCCCCAAGCCTCACTTCCCGGTACCTGGAGAGAGTTTGCTCCAAAAAGGCAGAGTTCTGACTGACAGCATCCACTAGCAGGTTGAAATCCATCTGCACAGCATAGGCCTGCTCCAGCAGGGCACTGGGGACCAGTGAGGGGAAGAGTGTAAAAGGGGCATAGCTCACCACCTGATCAATGAGAGAAAGCAGGGAATGGTTAGAGCACCTGTAAATGGGGTGTCTTCCTGCAAACATAACCCCATGCAAAGCCTGGCCTATATTTATTAAGAACACACCAATTGCAAAATAGTGATTAGCTCTTGGAGGGGAGATAGGGAAAAGGGTGAGGAAGGGATACTAAGAAAGCTTCCAGATTATGTGACAATTTATCTCTAAATGTTTTAAAAAACAAGAAGCAAAAAGGCAACAGCAAAACAAAAACAAACCCACAAAAATGATTAAGCATTCATTGTTTGTAAGGCACATGTAACATGGATGAATCCATAACAGGAATTCATCACTTAACACTGTAAGAAAGATACTACTATTATCACACCTAACAGATAAAGGACCTAAGTTATAGGTCCAAAAAGATATTCATCTGGTAAGTAGTACTACGATGTGAATCAGGATGGTTACTAAACCAAGTCCACCCTGCCACCATGAATTCCTAGCTGGTTGATATTCAAGCCCAGGCCTCTTCCTATGCCAAGAACTTGCACCCGAGTCCTCTTCTTTTCCGGCTGGGGTAGAGGAAGAGTTCTGCTAGTGGGGATGCAATAGAAGTGAACTCTGGATCCCTGAGTAGAAGCCAGGAGTGGTTCCCCCTGACTCCTCCTGCGGCACTCAGGTTAACAGGCCTAGAGTTCATCTGCTTTTTGGGTTCTTTGGATTTTGACATAACCAAGAAACCCAAAACCATCTCAAATACTTTCTATGGGGAAAAATGCATTCTAGGATTCCCAGCAACAATGAAGTGGAACTTGGGTAAGATGATAAGAAGACTTTGTGACTTGAATTATGAAGCATTCCTGAGTTTAACCTTTGAGTTAATATCAGTTTGTTGTTAACGGTAGTATAAGTTTATGATGTTACAATTTGGCATTTATATGTTTACTTTAAAAATACTACTATTTTGACATAGATAATACAAACACATCATACAACATTTAAAAGATACACAGGATTCATAGTGAGAAGTGTGTCTCATTCCCACTCGCACCCAAGTCACCTAGTTCTTCATAGAGACAAATGGTATACTAGTGCCTCACATATCCTTCCATACATCTATTTACTAATACATATGTATGCAAATATATTTTCTCTTTTTTATACACATAAAATACCTACATACATTGTTCCTTAAATAATTAAAGCACTTACATTCATCTTAATGGTTGTATAGTATCCAATTCTTTGGATACAGCATAACTTATTGAATCTAGCATCCTGTTGATGACTATTTGAGGGTTTTCTTTCATTTTTTCTTTTACAATCAATGCTTTAATAAACATCCTGGAATACATATTCTAGGTATTTTATTCGAGAAGTTTCATAAATTCTAAATTTCTAAAAGTGGAAATGTCAGGTAATTAGGTTAAATCCATTTTAAATTTTGGCAGATAATTCCCAAATAACTCCCCTCAGTATTTATTTTTAAGACAAAACTGAGCAAGGATATTTGTAAGAGTAAGGTTTATTCAGCCTGAGGGCTTCATGATCTAAAACGGGAATTACTACAGATTATGTAAAGGGTGATCTAATATCCTGAGTGTATATGTGATGGCTACAGGGCATTTCCTTGTCTTTAAGAGTCAGAAGATTGCCTTCCTCAACACCTCCAGCTGGTTAAAAAACTCAAGTTTTTCTGATAAAGACTTCCCTCTGGCTCTGACCCCAGGATTCATTATTGCCCTCTTGAATTTTTGGATTAATGGTGCACATGTGTTCTCTGTTGCCCACAAGCTAAAGGTATAAACACCTGATATCTCGTTTTGAGGAGACAAGAACATAGAATAACATGGTTCTACTGTTAGAAAAACTATCACACAGGCATGAAAACAGCATTCTGCTTTGCAGTCAGGAAAGCAACAGAGAGTAACAGGAAATGTGATGAGGAGACAGGCTGGGTAGGTGCCCCCCACCCCTCTTCCCCAAGACTTTTTTCTTCTAATGTTAACTCTGATTTTTAAACACTCTGATTAAAAACAAAATACTGTTAACAATTCCTGTCTCTGGAAGGAAGAGACTTACTGTACCCTTAAAGCCCTTTGGATTTTGTATCCTGTTCATGTATTACCTATTCAAAAACTGCATTAACTCAAAACACTGTAGGAGCCAAATCTTTGACTTGCAAGTGGCTGGCCTGCAGCCCAGATCCACTAGGTAAAGTTCACACTCCTACTCCACCCTGCATTCAGTGCCTCTTGGCGATCTGAATTGGCCTGCCTTCATTTCTACAATATTCCTGCCTTTCAGTTACATTCTCTTGAATACTTTTTTGTCTTTGCCTACTTTGGGGCCCCTGCTATGCTATTTCTTTCCCCCATCTGTTTTTTAAGATCTAGCAATACCACCCCTCATCTCAACCTTCTAATCATAATGAATTACTTCTTCTTCCAGGTGTCTTAAGAGAGGCAGTAAAGCTCAGATGTTCAGAGCGTGGTCTCAGAAGCCAAACCTCTTGGGTTTCAATTCTGGCTCTGCCAATTATTCCACCATTTAAATGACCTCAGGCAAGTTACTTAACTTGTCTGGACTGTGGTTTTCTCATCTCTGTTAAATGAGTCAGCAATTCCCAAGTGTTTAGAATAGTGCATGACACAGTAAATACTAATATTGCACAACTATGTTTTCTCATATTTAATTTTGACATTATTTAATTTCGTTTTGGGTATGTTCTCCAAATAAACCCTGAGCTCCAAAGGCTGGGGCTTCTGGCTGACTTACCTCTGCTCTCAGTATCTAGGACGATCTGACATAGAGCAGGCAACAGGTAAAGATATGGAATGAGTGCTGGGGATATAGCCCAGTTGGTAGAGTGCTTGTATGCAGAAGGCCCTGGGTTCGATCCCCAGCACCACAAAAGAAAAACCAAAAACATAAAAAGATTTGGAATGAAATCACACACACATATGCACACACACTTCCTGTTTAAATGTATGGTATGTCAAGATCATTGTATTGTCATAAGCAACTAATAAAAAAAAAGAAGAAATCTCATTGAGGATTGTGCCTTTCCTAGGCTCCATTAATTCCCAGAAAGACTAAGTGTTGGAGCTTTACATAAACCTATTTATTAACAGAAGAAATAAAGGCTTAAATGGGAAAATATGTTGCATCCTAGATTCAGGCAAACAATTCACCAAATCTAGGCTCACAAACCAAGGAATTTTATTGCCAAAGCCAGAGGTAGGCCTTTTACAGTATCAGCCCGCTTTAGATGATGGCCATTCTCATATGCTTGGGTCATATTACTGAGTCTGGACTCTCCAGTTGGCCCATACTAGCCTGGGGACTGGGAGATGGCTGGGGACACATTAAAAACTGATATACAAGGGGGCCTCAATGTAGGACTGAAAGCAATAGCCTGGATAAACCAAAGTGGAAGAGTGCCACTGAGGTCATCCCCATTCCATATGATATAGTTCCTTAGGTGCTAGAATTACCTGTTCTCTCACAAAATATAGATTGCAAAGTTAGTATGTCAGTTTAAAGCACATATTATGATCCAGTCCTATGAATAATTTGACTTAGGATTTCTAACACTATTGCTTTTGACAACAAATCATTGACTTATATTTACATCTGAAAAGGCAGATTGCATGAACACAGGTTACTTTTAATAGCATATAGTTCAGAAAACTTGAGGATACATTGTTAATCTGTGACTTGAGATTTTTAAAAATTACTTTATTAATCTTATAGTATCTTGGCTTCATAAGCAGGATAGCTTATGCATGGATACATGAATACAACTTATATGGCTTAAAAAATAGATATTCTAAAACATGTAAGTAGAGATTTATCAGAGCAATTAGATCTGGTTCATACGAAATATTAATACATGCAAATCGAGATATTTTATAGTGAAATTATTTTGCATATTTGTTAACATAACTCATATTTTTGTATACTTTGGGTCTGTATTTTTCTATTATATATCTAAATTTTCTGCATGACATTTTTTGGGGATAATTTTTCTGTGGTGTGTGCATGATAAATAGATTGCCCTAGTTTTTAAAAAAAGCTGCTAAAATCAACAGGCAGTGCTCCTTTTCCAAGCCATTTTCATACTTTTCCAAGCCATTTCATAGAGTGAGCTTGTAACTTCCTTGTAGTCTTTACCTCTTGTAGAAATATTTTTACTATCTTTCCAGGCACACAGTAGAATCGAGGGAACTAGACTTGCTGGGGATAGGTGCAGGTCATGTGGCATTTTTCCTCTGGTGGATTATTTGAGGGGACTTGCCTCCATGTGGCCTAACCAGGCAGTTTCCCTGCCCCGATCTGTTCTCTTTTGAATGAATGGTTTCACACAAACTAATAGAAAACAGAGTTTTATAACAAGTCCCCCCCACCCCAGCCCCGCAAACCTGGCATTTATAAAAAGAGGAAACTAGAAGGAAGGGAGGAAGGAAGGAAGGAAGGAAGGAAGGAAGGAAGGAAATTGGTTTTTGCTATGAACCATTTCCACGATGCTTTTTTTGGTGTGTGTTGCTGGGGATTGAGCTCAGAGCCTTGTGCATATGAGGCAAGCACTCTACCAACCCCTCCATAGTGCCATTTTAATACTTGAGCGACTCTTAGGGTTACCATCTGCCTTAAATCTATTTTTTACATTTTCAGAAATAATCACTGTTTAACAAATTTCTGTATCTAATTCAGGGTTCACTTGGAACTTATTAATTAATGGCTCCATGGCAGTATATCAGCAGGCAACTGGAAAATTTTCCTAGGCCATGAGACTAGACAATCCATGATTCCATTAACTAAACTTGGAGCAAAGTGGTTAATAAAGAAAAAAGTGGTAAATAAGGAAATATTTTAGCAAGGATGGTGGAATGTGATGGCCATCATTATACAAAGTACATGTATGAAGACTTGAATTCGATGTCAACATACCTTATATACAAACAGAGATATGAAAAATTGTAGTATATATGTGTAGTAAGAATTGTAATGCAAAAAAAAAGTACAGGTATAATGGCATAAATTGACATGAACATACTTTATATACCGAGATTCGAAAAATTGTGCTCTGTATGTATAATAAGGATTGTAAGGCATTCCACTGTTGTCATGTATTTTAAAAAAATAATAAAATCAATAAAAAAATGTTTATAGCAACACAATTCACAATAGCTAAACTGTGGAACCAATCTAGATGCCCTTCAGTAGATGAATGGATAAAGAAACTGTGGTGTATATATATATACACAATGGAATATTACTCAACATTAAAAGAGAATAAAATTATGGCATTTGCAGGTTAAAAAAAAAAGGAAATATTTTTTAAAATTAATCAAAATAGTAGAGCTCCCCTGGGTTTAATCCCCAGTATCACAAAAACAAAACAAAACAAAAATAACAAATAAAACAAAAACAAAAGTGTACAAAAAAGCTTGTCTAGAAAGCTTCTTTGTGTTAAAAATGAGAAAAAGTCTATATAGTTATTTACCTTTAGGAATCAACTACTTGAAAGGACAAATAAAAATACTAAAACATAGACTGCCTTCAGGATAGGGGAATTGGGTAACTAGGGAATGTGGAAAGGAAGGTTAAATTGTAAACTCATAACTTTTGAATTTTGGGTTCTTTTAAACTTTGAACTATGAAAATGTATTACCTAATAACAAAAGAGACAAGTTTTGTTTTGTTTTTTAAGGATGAGGGGTTTTTGTTTGTTTATTTGAGATGAGGTCTCACTATATTGCTCGAGCTGGTCTTAAATTGGTGGGCTCAATTGATCCTTTTGCCTCAGCCTGCCTAGTGGGACATGGTGGTACAAGCTCAGATGCCCATCTGAAGGATGAGATTTAAAAAAAAAAATTATATGATTTGCACTCAGCAGTTCTACTTTTAAATATCAACCCTAGAGAAACACTTATAGAGGGGCCTAAACAGGCATGTATGTGGATATTCCCTGTTGTGTGTTCTGTAGTTAACCCTAACCCTCACCCTAGCCCTGTTGTGTTATCTGTTATATCAGAAGTCACCTAGATGGCCAACAGGAGAGAAAAGTTAAGTTGTGACCCATCTACATCTGGAATGCTATGCATCAGAGAGATACCGACTCTATGGAAGATGTTAGAAAGACTTCTAAGGGAGTCTGTAAAAACAAAAACCAAAAATATATCACAGAATAATATGTATGATCCAGTTTGTTTTTTTTTAAACTATGAATTTCTACAGAAAAAGACTTGAAAGGATATATCTCAACCCAATTACTGAGAAGGTAGTGTGATTAGGGAGGGCTTAAAAAATACTAGCTCCTGGGTTGAGGTTGTGGCTCAGTGGCAGAGCACTTGCCTACATGTGTGAGGCACTAGGTTCGATTCTCAGCACCACGTATCAATAAATAAAAGTTCATTGACAGCTTAAAATATGTGTGTGTGTGTGTGTGTGTGTGTGTATAGACTTCCCTTAGAAGTCTTTCTAACATTATATATATATATATATATATATATATATATATATATATATATAAATAAAATACTTGCTCCCTAGACAGAGTGCTTTATGTGAATTATCTTCTTTACCTACCCAACTAGGTAGCTCCCATTATTTGCAGCTGAGAGAAGTTAAGTAACTTGCCTAAGTCATACTTTGAGCCCCCGATTTAAATTTGATTACTCCAGCATGCTGTACTTTTACTTTATGTATGTCTTGAGGACAATTTTAAGTATTGAACAAAATAAAATAAAGCAAAAGAGATGTGGTCTCTGAGCCAAAAGATCTCCCCTCAGTCTGGCAGGGCCAGGCAATGGGCAGGGGGATTGGAGAAGGGTAGTCAGGTTGTGGGGAGGCTCTAGGACTTACATCTGAGGAACTGGGCTCCTGTGTGGTCCGCAGCAACACGCCCTCAGCCAGGGCCCGGTCCACAGCCTGCCGAGCCAACTCTTCCAGCAGCTGCTCATCTTGCAAGAGGCTCCCCCAGCTGGTGGCCATCCCAACCTGTGACAGAGAACTTGGTGACACATGGCCTGGGGCCCATCAACCACTGAAACACTGTAATACCTTGGTTGGGTACCCTAAAAGACACTGTGGTACAGAGAAGTGAACACTGGCTAGTCCCAGCTCTTCACTTCCATATACACAAAACAACTTAACCAAGTATTTCTATGGCCATTCTCTCTTTTGATTTCTAATACAGCAATGGCATTATTCTCACAGTAAGGAAATGGAGCTCTGAAAATGAAATGTCTTGCCCTATGTACTGACTGGTAAAGCCGAGACCTGAACTCAGGTCTCTATGCTCTAGCCTAATACTCTTCGTTGGAGAAAGAAGCATTAATGTCATATGTGATTGGGACAAGTTCCCTCCCTTCCTAGAGATACAGATTCCCTGTTTGTAAAACAGAGGCATGGGAGAAATGAGTTGTTTCCAAAAGTGGACAAACAGGGCTGGGGATATAGCTCAGTTGGTAGAGTACTTGCCTTGCATGTACAAGGCCCTGGCTGGGTTCAATCCCCAGCATCCAAAAAAAAAGTAGATAAACATTCTAGGTTGCTTGAAGAAATACATATATTCTGAGACTCTACTCCAGAGATTCTGATTCAAAGAGGTCCAACAGGAGGAAGAGGTTGAAGCTTACATTTTTTATGGGTCTTCTTGGGATGGGGACCATTACAGTAGATTAATTTCCCTTCTTATTCCAACAACCCATGTCAGCAGATCTCAAATAATTACATAGGAGGCAGGGAGGGAACCTTTTGTGGAATACCATGAAATGCAGAGACGGTGAACTCCTCCCTCATACTAATCAAAATCAAACATGTTAAGAGAAAACAATTACATTCTATGTATAGATATCTATCATTACAACATCTAATGAGAAAAAATATATATTTTTAAATAATTTTTTAAGAGAAAATATTTTTGAGAAATCACATTAGCAGAATAGAAATGACTGAAACCCCCAAGCACAATGGCACATGCCTGTAATCCCAGCGACTCAGGAGGCTGAGGCAGGAGGATCACAAGTTTGAGGCCACCCTGGGCAACTTAGCAAGACCCTGTCTCACAACAAAAAGGGGTGGAGATGCAGCTCAATGGTAAAGTGCCCAAGGTTCAATCTCCAGTACCAAATTGAAAAACAAACACCAAAAAGCAGAAACCCAAGTACCTAGTGTAATAGAAGAAATCTGACTGATAGCTCAAAGACACACAGAGGTGTACCAACTCACGGCTTGCTACTCATTCATTTGGCATCAGGCCTTGGGAATCTAGAAAGCCCTAGATAAAAATGGAATTGCCAGTCACTGGTTTTGTTCTGACCTATTGTCATTTAATTTTGAGAGCAGAACATGTCTGCTCAACTCAGTGGTTCCCAGGAAGAGAGTCAGTAAATGAGAGGTAACCTACATCACATTCAGCTCTGCCCCCTTCTCATGACAGAGCTAGTGTTAGGCCAATTGTGCAAGTCTGCTGGCCTCAGCACAATGTTTTGAAACAATGAGCATGTGATCTCAAGAGAGCCCTGATGACACCCCTGTTGGGCGACAGATGACAATAGTCACAGTAAAGAATAAGGCTCTGGAGTCCGTCAGACCTGCGTTTGAGTACACAATATTATTTCCCTTATAAGTAACTTCACTATATGGATTAAATGAGAAAAATCTGTGTGAAGTTTCTCAGCAGTGTTTGGTGCTTGTGTTATTCTATTTTCTGTTACTATAATGAAATACCTGAGGCTGGATAACTTTATAAAGAGATTTATTTAGCTCACAGTTTTGGAAATTCAAGGACATGGCAGTGGCTTTGGTGAGGTCCTCATGCAGATGGCATTACTTAGGCGGGAATGCAACTGAGGGGGAGCCAAAGAAAGTGATTCTGAGGTTAGCCTCACTCTTTTCTGATACTGGGGATTGAACCCAGGGGCACTTCATCTCTGAGCCACATCCCCAGCCCTTTTAATTTTTTATTTTGAGACAAAGTCTCACTAAGTTGCATAGGTCTCACTAAATTCCTGAGACTGGCCTCAAACTTGTAATCCTCCTGCCTCAGCCTCCCGAGTTGCTGGGATTACAAGTACTGCACCCAAACAGTCTCACTCTCTTTATTTTTTATTTTTACAGTACTGGGGATTGACTACAGGACTTTGCACATGTAATGAGCTATATCCCCAGTCCTTTTTGCTTTTTGATATAAGGGACTAAATTGTGCAGGCTGACCTCAAAACTTGTGATCCTCCTTCTTCAGTCTCCTGAATAGTTGAGATTATAGGCATGTACCACTACACTCAGCTAAGCTCACTCTTATAACAACTTACTCCCTTGAGAACTAACTCTGGGTCCCACAAATACTATCTTAATTCCTTCCAAGAGCAGCTATCCCAGTGACATAAGGACTAAGTCTCATCTTTAAAAAAAATTTTTTTAAGCTGTAGATGGACACAATATCTCTATTTATTTATTTTTTAAAATGTGGTGCTGAGGATCTAACCCAGCGCCTCACACATGCTAGGCAAGTGTTCTACCACTGAGCTACAACCCAGGTCTACTAGGTCCCCATCTTTAAAAAAGTCCCACCACCTCCCAACATCACCATACTGGGCATGGGGACCAAGCCCCCAATACATGAACCCCTTGGGGATACACTCAAAGGTATCCAAACCATAGCACAGCTCTACACCTGAGGTTTTTTAATTTTTTAAACTGGTCATATAGCAGCCAGGCAGTAGAACCAAGACAAGAACCCATGACTTTGACATTAGAGAAATAAGATACTCCCTTAGTCTGCATCTCTCCACACCTATGGGATTCCAACTGTCAGCTGCTGGGCTTTTGTTTTGTTGGCAAACACTGATTTGCATGTAAAGCCAGGCCTTAGGCTAGATACTGGGATCATAAAAAAAGACCATCACTTCGAAGAAAAGTTCTAACTGGGACCTTTTTTTCTCAATCTATAGTCTCCATCTTTGTGCCTTATTTCTGTTTTGCTGATGATGCTCAAATCTATATTCTCACAGCAGTACTTTCCTGATGGTCAAAGTCGAATATCCAACACTTCCTGGAAATCTCCACACAACCAGAGAATTTTTTTTTGTTGTTGTTGTCTCAACAAAAATCTGCTTCTCTGATGAACCTCACCCTGGCACCCAAGCCTCGCGTGTACTTCTCTCCATTCTACTCCAACTTTGTGGATTCTGCTGCCTAAATACATAGTTTTGAATTCTTCCCTGTGCATCTCCACTGTTAGTAGCAGAGCTCCGCCCACCGTCTTCTCTTCGCTGTGCACCAACCAGATTCAGAATGAAGCATCTTCATGATGCACCAGCCTTGCTCCCTGTACCAGGCCTTGGCAGGTGCTGTTTCCCCTTGGGAACATTCCCCTCCACTCTGATTTAGTTTGGGTAGCTTTCTCTGTTCTTCTCTATCCAGGGCTTCTACAGTCCATTGATTTTTCTCGGTACCACAGCAAATGCATTTGTGTTGGTTACGTTTCTAGCTGATGCTAACGCTTACAACTGTATTCAATGAACCTTAAATAAGTCAATCACCAACGCCCACAAGGAAAGCCGGTCGGACTTTATCACCAGGGCGGGGCCCGTACCTGCCCAGAGCTCTGGGCAAAGACGTGTTCTCCCGTCTTAGCTTGTCCTTGACTGGCCCGCTCGCTCCCACCAGGAACAAAGTTTGTTTCTAATCGCTCCCAGTTTTTTTTTTTTTTTTTTTTTCCCTTTAAACCCTGATTCTAGTCTCAATAGCTCTGTGTCCCCGACACCCGCCCGATCTGGAAAATCTGGGATCAACACGCGCTAGCCCAACCCCCGTCACTGGACACAAGTTTCTCAGTGCCTGAGATAGGTTTGAGCTACAAGAGCTCCAGTTCTCTGCGTTCCAATTGCTGGCCTGACCCCTCCCTCACAGCTTTCCTCCAGAGGAAATATGACCCTCGCCAGCCGCCGTTGCCGAGCCCCAACCTACTAGTTCGTGGTCCCGTCGCGCACCGCACTCAGGCCCCTCGCGCCGTTACCCAAGACTTAGCGGGCGGGGTCTCGGGGCAGGTCTGTGCGCTTGCGCGGACCGCCCCCGCTAGGCTTAAAGGGTAGGGCGGGGAAGAGACCAGTGCCGGTGGAGGTGGACGGCGGCCGGGAAGGGGCAGTCCGTGTGAGGGCGATCTTAGTTTTAAGGGTTTCTCTCCTGCACTCAGGCAGACCTGGACTTGGGAAGTACAAGGAGGGGTCAGGCTGGGTCAGCGGGGTGCTGTGGGTATGCTCAGTTCATAGAGCGTCAGAGCTGTCGACGTCTAGTATAGATGGGGAAACTAATGCTCAGATGGGACAGTCACGATCTCAGGGACACCCGGGTGATAGGGGCGGGGGTGGGCGTGGTAAGAGAGTCTTAGGGGCGGGGACCGACACAAGGTCGTTGTGGCTTGTTAGGCGCTGAGCCAGCATTGGAACCCAGGTTATTTTCCCAGACCCGACAAATTCCAGAAAAACGCACCTGATTTTTTTCACCTAGGGTAGCAGTATGGCAAGCCTTAGAGCAGAAGGAACGCATTTTCATTTTTTCCTGGAATTTTGAAGTTAGGAGTGTTCGAGGGTGACCCAGTGTTTCTCAAACTCTTCGGATGCCTCTTGCATCGGGATCTGGGGAAGTTTAGGTTTTTTACTTTTTATTTTTTTAATATATGGATTCATGATCCTACCTTATTCCTGGCAGCCTCCAACGTCATAACTGTTTCTTCTCCCTAGGTAGGAGACAATTGTTTGCAATTTGAAGCACCTAATGAGAATTTTAGTTAAGTTACACGAAATGTCTGTTTCTGAACCTCAGGGGGTATATGAAGTAGTATTATAACGGTCCTCAACTGACAGGGAAAAAAAGGTCGCTGTATTAACCAGAAACAAAAGTTATTTCTAACACAGCATGAATGTAAAAATTTAAAAATGGGACCCAGGGTTTTCTGTGCAGGTTCCCCACTTCCAAGATGGGTGCCCAGTGACATGTATGGGTTATCTCTTGGTGAGATTTAGGGAGGATTCCAGACCTTAACAGCCCTTTGGTTGAGTCCCCTCACATTGTAGCAGATAAGGCTGCTTAATTCTTATTTTGTAGGTGTGGCAGCTGAACCTCAGAAGTTAAGTGCCTTGTTCAAAGTGACCCAGTTTGTGGTGGGTCTAGGTCTTTTTAGCAGGGCTTTGCCTTTCTTGCTCCCTCTACCGACATGCTTTGCCCCTACAACTGGCATGACCAATATCCTTGTCTTTCACGTGTTTTCTCCTTAGATGCCACCCCATCCCACCCCACCAATATGTATTACATAACCCTGTGAGTGTTCTAATAGTGATTAGTACCTGAAATTATTACTTTTATTTGTCTGTTGTTTCCCTCTGCTGAAATGTGAGCTCCATCAAAATCGAGCCAATATTGTCTTTTCACCACTTTTCATACTTTTCCCAGCGCCTGAAATGGTTCCTGCCACATAATAGATGCTCAATAACATTTGACGAATGATGGAAATAGGTTAGGAAGGGAGGATGACTGGATACTGATGTTTATTGAGAATTTAGGATGTTTCAGGTACTTCTCACAAATTATCTCATTTAATGTCCTCAGTCTTTCAGGATAAATTCTGTTTTCTCCATTGAATGGATAAGAAAGCATACAAAGTGAGTCAAGTGTTTTGTTAATTTTGATACTTAGATTCCTTCAAGAATCTTCATTAGACACAAAATTTTGCATGTACTATGTGGAGGAATCCCCAGATCTTCTCAGACCCTCTTTGGAATCTCAGATCAAGAAACTCAAGATGAGGGCTAGGGTTGTGGCTCAGTGGCAGAGTGCTTGCCTTGCACATGTGAGGCACTGGTTCAATCCTCAGCACTACATAAAAATAAATAAACAAAGTTAAAAAAAATAAAAGAAACTCAGGATGAGGGAACTTACCTAGGGTCTTTCTGGCACCAAGCCTTTGCTGGGTCCTTACTCCATGGCAAGGATGGATTCCATTTACTGGACTACAGGGAACCTGTAGATTCTGGAGCAGAGGGAGATGATGATGCACTGAGCTTTTGGTGTCCCAGATCTGGATGTAAATCCTCACTCCACAACCTACCACTGTGATTATGGGCAGGTCATCTCACTTCTGAATCTTACTTGCCTCATTTTCAAAATGGAATCTGTTTTTTCCTAATGTTAACTACTCTTCATTGATCTGGTCATTAAGTTCCAGGTCCTTGGCTAATGACTTTACAGTCATTACATCACTTTTAGCCACAATCCTAGTGGGGGGCTACTGTATAAGATCAGTAGTCTTATGGTTTGTGTGCGTCTCTTTTTCTCACTCTCTCTCTCTTTTTTTTTTTGGTAATGTGAATTAAACCCAAGGGCACTTTACCACTGAGCCACATCCCCAGACCTTTAATTTTTTATTTTTAATTTTGAGACAGGGTCTTGCTAAATTGTGGAGGTAGCCTTGAACTTGGATTACAGGCATGTGCCACTGCTCCCGACTGTTGTCTCCATTTTACAGTGAGAGAAGTGAAGGCTTGAAGAGTGTCCTGACTTGCCAGATAAGACTGCTTGGCCCTGTTAGACATTTGCCTCCCCACCCCCCTACCTTACAATGTCCATGAACTCATACTTTCCCAAGCTGACTGTTGAATTCATTGACATCTCTGTTCTAGAGTTTGTGGGAACATTGGAGTATAAATTAGGTGAAAAAAAATACAAGGAGGGCTGCACTGCAGTATGAATGGAAATCTGTCCCTTAACTTTGTGCCTTGCTTTTGCCCTCGTGAGGGCCTCTTTCCAAGTCTGGACTGGGCCTTTTGATTGGGACACCTCCCATTCCCAATGTCTGCATTGCACGTGTTCTGCATCTGTGCACATGCCTGTTATCTCTTTTTAGCAAGTGACAACACCCTGCCTGGCATCATTATTTATGAGAATATCTCCCCAGATGGCTGGAGGCCACTGTTTTGGCCTTTCACAGTGGAATTCCTCTGCCTTCTGTCCCCCAGCATGGCCTGGCCCAGTGGTGCTGCTCAGGAAATGCCTGTGGAATCAAAGTGAGGACTCTCCCATGTGTTGAGGATTTACTGTGTGCCAGGCCTGTCCTGACACTTTATATGTGCTATCTCATTTACACTCCTACAGTGCTGGGAGGGAAAAGTTACTGTTCTTATTTTACTGAGAAGACACAGACTTAGAGACTGGGACTTTGCTTTAGGCCCGCTCTCAGTGACTGATGGCACCAGGAATGGCTCTAGGGCCATGCTCTCGTTGTACATGATGAACTCGTGGAGGGGCTATGGGCTGACAAAGGGGACACACACATCTAGGGTGCAGGATCCTCAGAGACCTTCTACTTACAAGCTTCTAATCTAGCTCTCATTTTTTTGTGAGCAAAGAGAAGCCCAGAAGTAAAATGGCTTACTTATACTATTTTCTATACTTATTACTTCTCCACTTACTTTTGGACAGGATGGGAACTGGTTTTACTCTTCATTGAACCACCCCCCGTAGTTCAGTGCTTAATCTAGGTCTAAACTCAGTAAATAATTTTTAACTTTTGTTAATTATGATAACATCGCAAAAGATATAAATATTAATGTAATGAACACCCACATACCTACTATACAGATTATGAAATAAAACATTGCTAATATAGTAATCCCCTCTTATCTGGGGAGAATGTATTCCAAGACCCCCAGCAGATGCCTGAAACCACAAATAGTACCAAACTCTTTAAACTGTATTTTTCCTTTATGTACATGGTTATGGTAAAGTTTAATTTATAAGTTAAGCACAGTAAGAGATTATTAAGTAATAATGAGGAAATTCACAGTAAGAGATTATTAAGTAATAATGAAGAAATTCTAACAATGTATGGTAATAAAAGTTATTTAAACCTTATGAATTGTTATTTTAAAATTTTTCTGTTCAATATTTTCAGACCACTGTTGACCACAAGTAACTAAAACAATGGAAAGTGAAACCTGGATAAGAGGAGAACTACTGTGTAACTGAAGACCCATGTGTGCCCCACCACGAATGACCTCTCCCTGTGCCCCCAGGTAATGACTCTCCTGAATTGAGTGTTTATTATCCCCACGCAACTTTGTTTCTTTTGTTAATGTGATGCTTGAGATCAAACTTGTGGCCTTGTGAGTGCTAAATACACATTTTATCCCTGGGATATGTGCCCAGTCTCCTATGCAACTTTTTATTGAGATATAACTCATACCATAAATTCAGTGGTTTTTATTATATTTATAAGCTTGTGCAACCATCACCACTAATTCCAATACACTTTCATTACTCTGTAAAAGAAGCCCCATATCCATTAGCAGTCATTCCCCATTCTTCCCTCACCCAGCTCTGGAAATAGGTAATTTAATTTCTGTCTCTATGAATTTACCTATTCTGAATATTTCATATAAATGCAGTCATATAATTTGTGGCCTTTTGTGAGTTGTTTCTTTCATTTAGCCTATTTGAGGATTCAGCCATTCATTCAAATGATAAACATTTGGGTTGTTTCCACTTTCCTTTTTAAAATTTTTTTAGTTGATGATGGACCTTTATTTTAATTATTTATTTATATGCGGGGCTGAGAATCAAATCCAGTGCCTCACACATGAGAGGCAAGCACTCTACCACTGAGCCACAACCCCAGACCTATTTCCACTTTTTGCTATTACGAATAATGCTGCTCTGTGCTCATGCACAGGTTTTTTTGTGAGTATTTTCAATTCTCTTGAGTAGATATCTAGAAGTGGAATTTCTGGATTACATGTTTAACTTTTTTGAGGAATTTCTGTTTTCCAAAGTGGCTGCATGTGTCAGAGTTTCTGTTTTTACATCTTTACCGGTATTTGTCTGTCTAATTATGGTTATCCTAGTTGGTGTGAAGTGGCATCTTATTGTGTGTTTGTTTTTTCGTTTTTTTTGTGGTGCTGGGAATTGAACTCAGGTCCTTGTGCATGCGAGTCAAGCACTCTACCAACTGAGCTATATCCCCAGTCCTTATTGTGTTTTTTTAAATATAT